TTTTCTGGGAGGTGGGGGGAGGTCCTGGGCTTGAACTGGGCTTAGGTATTGTCCCTGAACTTCTTTTTGCTCAAGGCTATATAGCTCTACCTCTTGAGCCATATCACCACTTTCTGCTTTTTCTGAGATATGAGCCACCAGTGCCCAGGTTGTATTTTTTATTATTATTGTTGACATATATAATTTTACATATTTGTAGAGTAATATGATGCTGTGGTACATGTATATGATGTGTAATATTTTGAATCTGGTTAAGTATTTCTTTGGGGTAAATACACTCTTTTGAAGTGTAGTCATTGTTATCTATAGCCATCTTACAAGGATGCCATACTTCAGACAGATACAAAGATTGAGACACTTTATAAATTTAATCAAGTTATTTCAGCTTGTTTGTAGAGTTGTCACTGTTTTTTTCTTATTACATATTATTAGCACAATTAGTTGGGCAAGAGTTTCATTTTGACGTGTCCATACATGTATACAATGTACCTCAATCACACTAAGCCTCTCAGTTGCTCTTTCCTCGAAACCTCTCCCCATTCCTCCAACAATTCAACAAACTTCACCAATTTTTCTAAATATACTTGGGCCATATTCACCCTCCTTCACTTTCATCTGTCCTTCTCTTCCTATTAGTTCCCATCATCCATACAGAACAATGTTTTTACTATTAAATGAACATTGAATTTTATCAACGGCTTTTTCTGTAGCTATCAAAATGATCTTTTTATTTCCTTTATGTTTAACAAATTTTCACGCACTCTAGGTTTGATTTGCCGAGGTTTTTTTTTGTGTGTGTGTCTGTGTTTGACAGTGTTCCTATACTAATTTTTCTTGTAATGTGTTTGATAGACTTAAGTATAAAAATTAACAATGATTTCATGAAAAAGCTGTCAAATGTTTTTGTTTTGTTTCTTTCTATGGGAGAACTATTTAGTGCAATAAGCTATGTGGTTTTCTGTGTGGATACTTTGAAAATAATTAGGTATTAACCAATACAGTATTATTTGTGACTTTTCTTTTTATTTGATTGTTTCGGTAACTTATGTTTTAAAATAATTTTTACATTTCATGTAAATTCACAATTGGTGAAATTATTAATGTTAACATCTTTTAGTTTATCAATTTTGCTATTATACATTTTGGTTCTCTGTCTTTTTTTTGGGGGGGGGTCTGGTCCTGGGGCCTGAACTCTGGGCCTGGGCACTGTCCCTCAGCTCTTCAGCTCAAGTCTAGCGCTCTACCACTTGAGCCACAGCGCCACTTCCGGCTTTTTTCTTTTTGCTTATGTGGTGCTAAGGAATCGAACCCAGGGCCTTGAGCATGCAAGGCAAGCGCTCTACCACTTTTACTACTTATTAATACGAAGTAGGTGTAGCTTTATATTTTCTCATACATTTACTATATTCCAGTTAATGAATTCTTCTCAAATCTTTATCATTTTCTTCTGTTTTATTGCGTTTGACTGTTTTTTTCTAGCTTTTTGACATGGAGCTTGTCATCGACCTGTCTCAGAATCATAATATGTTTAATATGTATATAAATACTTCACTATACTAAATGGTAGAAATATCTAAAAATTATCAAATCCAAGAAAGCTTGATAAGAAATGTACTCGTTATCTTGCCCATGTAATTGTAACCCGTCTGTATGGTATTTTCACAATAAAAAAAAATTAATGTTTGTTTGGTACTTTTAACTAGCTGAAAACCTTACTATTCTGAGTTCTGCCATTTTTGTTATTTCTTTTAGTTCTAAGATCTGATGCATTTAGTAGTCATGTTTTAAGATATTTGTTAATTTAGTCAAGTATGATTATTAGTGAATTTAGCTCCTTTTACTGTAGATGTAGTTATTTATTTGCATGTTTTAATCTGCCTTTTTCCCCCCTTTTTAGTTATGCTGACTTTCCTTTATAGTGGTTATCCTAGAGAAAATAGTATACATGCTTCATTGACTTAATGCAGCTACTTCCAATAATTATTCTTACCACTTCACTTCTCTAGGAAGCAGAACCTTTAGAATACTTCTTTTCACACTAAGAACAGATTTCACCCCGTTTATCTCCCCTTTTATGTCACAGCTAACATATAAGTCTGTATTTAGACATTCTTTACAGTTTTGTTGGTCAATTTGAAGAAATTCCTGTATTTTTTTTTTGTAAGTCCTGGAGCTTGAACACTGGGCCTAGGTGCTATTCCTGCACTCTTCATCTCAAGGCTAGCATTCTACCACTTGAGCCACAGGACCACTTCCTCCTGGGTTAATATTGACTTTTCCTTCTGTGATTCCACTTACATTTTGTTAGATTCTCATGTGTCATATGCTGTAGATTCTTTTTGTGTTTTTCATCCCTGTTCACTCTGCTTCAGGGAAAAGATCTTTGGACCTTTCTAAACATTTTGTAGTCCTAACTTACTGTTAAGGCTGTGTTAAATATTTATATTAAGATACTAATTTCGGTTACTTCCCAGTTCTACATTTCTTTCTTAAAACCATTTAAACTCTTGGTAAAATTACGTTGCCTGGGATTTTGTTTTTATTTTTTGTTGTTTGGTTAAAAAAAATTTTTTTTGGCTTGTACCAGGGTTTGAACTTAAGGGCCTCTTTCTTGGCTACCACTCTGTCACTTGAGCCACGCCTTCAGCATTTTGTGGATATTTGGAGGCTGAGTCGTTGCCGATGGGGTTTTGTTTTATTTTCTTTTTCTCCTAGTTTTCATTTATGTACATCTGTCTTTTAGCAAGTTGGTAGTTTTTTTTCTCCTTTTTGAATACTTTTTATTATAAAAACTGAAAACTTCTCATGCTTTCTTTCAGAAAGGATTTTTCCCTTCTTAGGGACAAATGGAAAGTTATAACTTTCATTTAGTCAGTGACTGAAGTGATTCAAGAGTGATTGAAAGGGGGTGGGGAGAATAGGTTGGGGGGGCGGGGGAGGCTGGGAAGGGATGTGAAGGGTTATCTTGTCCATGTAATTGTAACCCCTCTGTACAGTATGTTCACAAAAAATAAAAAAAAATAATAAAAAAGAGTGATTTAAAGCTATGTATTGATGCAGTTGGTCTTCTCATAATTTTGGCTTTCCAGGCCTTTATTTGAGAGGCATCCTGTTTTTACCTGCAGTCCCAATTATCCTTTGGCAGTGGCTCTCAATCTGAGCAAAACACTGAATCTCATTCTAGGACTTGAATCAGCATATATTCTTGAGGAAGATAGGTAGACGTCAAATCACCTTCACATTGAAATCTTGAGATTGCTTGGCCCAATTGCCTGAGCACCTTTAGATTCCTTTCAACATTTATTTATTTATTTATTTATATCTTTCTACTCAATAGCATAGTTTCCTTCAGCTGTTGTATCACATTCAGAAGCATTCAGTACTTGGGATGGATGGATGGATGGATGGATGGATACATACATACATACATAGAAAGAATCTTGCTTTGATTACTATGGGTCTTGGGGCCCTTGCTTAAATTATTCACACTTAGATTTCATCAGTAAGGACATGCTTAGTAGGTCTAGTCCAGTATAGTTGCTACTTACCATGGGATATTATTAGGTAAACCCTAAATTGTAAGTGAACTATAAATATATCTAAGCTATGGAACATGATTGCTAGTCTACAGTGCACATTAACTTCACGATTTTATGGCTGATTGGGAGCTATGACTCTCAGATACTGCCAGCATCATACCTTATTGTATATCCCTAGTTTTGAATCAGAATTCAAAATTTGCAATATAGTTTCTGTTGAATATATATATCTTTTTTGCACCATTCTAAAGTAGATTAAGCTTAAGTCAGACCATCATAAGTAAACAACTGTTTGTACTCACATTGTGTTTAGGGTTTGTATGTCTAATCACTTAAGAGACAACATACAGTTATTAAATAGGTCATTCAATGATTTCCCCGAATCTGTGATTTTTGTCTTCTCCAGTTTCATTTTTTCATAGTAAACCTCATTATGAAATAACTTGTTAATTTGAATAACATGATAAAATTTCATGCTGCCTTGCTATACTATATATACTGTTAGCCCAATAGACAACTAAAAAGGCTCAGATACACAAGACTAGTGATATAGCAATTAAGGTATGTGAAAGCCAGAAAATGATTCCCTTAAATTAAGTGAAAAGTTTGTGAGTTAATAAGAAAACAAAAATCTGAGCTTGCCAAGATCTGTGTGAATGAGTCATTTATCCATGAAATCTTGTTTTGTTGCTGTTGCTCCTCAGACTACAAAAGATATTTACAGTTTTTCATAAATGCTTACAGTTGAGATGTAAAAGACATTAAATTATAGGATGGAACCATCTACAGTTTCAAGCATTCAGTGTCTGTCACCTTGTTCTTTGTTACCTTAGTCATTTTTCTCTGATTCTGAGAAAACTTTACACAGATTTTTCACTTGTTGAATTTTTTTTTATTTTGAATACGTAGTTTTAATGTTCATGGTTTGTGTGTTTTCCTTTTTTGCAATACCTGGGTTTGAACTTAGAGCTACTCCAACCATATCAAATACAGTTTTACTACCTGCTTGCCTCAAACTGCAGTCTCCCTGATCTCTTAATTCCCAAATAGCTGAGATTATAGGAGTGTGCTACAACTCTTAACTAGACAGAAATCATATGATAGAGAATGCATGTTAGTGATAGAGACATGTGATAGAGACTTAAGTCTTCTCAGGGGGCCTTTCTGGCGTACATATAGACTTTCATGGAAATCTGTATTTTATTTGGTGCAAACTTCCTGTATTTTATGGTGTGTCACTAGTACTTACAATGACAACTTTGTAGCAACATTGTCATTTTACCTATAAGTAGGAATTTTGTTTAAATTCAAGGCCTTACATATGATTCATTTATTAAAATCATTTCAGATCTTCACATTACCTCTAAATTGGATTTTGAATATTGTTCTATAAAATTTAAGTAAATCTTCCTTGTTGGCTCTTTTCATTTAAGATCAGTAATCAAACTTCTTTCTTTATAGGTAATTTATTCGACATTGTGTGATAGTGTATAACTCTTAAACATCTGTAATAAGGTGGCAATGTCTCGAGAACCCACCCCACCTCTGCCTGGAGATATGTCTACTGGTCCTATTGCAGAAAGCTGGTGTTATACACAGGTACATGTGTTTAAAATGGATTACTTTATGACACTTTAAATTTTCAGAGTATTAAGAATATTGTTGTGAACTACTTCTAATAACTACTAGTTATTAGAAGGATTTATGCAGTGGATTATAGGATGCTTGACATGATTACCTAGAAGACTAGGCATCATTATTATAAAAAGTAACTTTCTGAATCTCTTAGGTAAAAGTAGTAAAATTTTCCTACATGTGGACCATTAATAACTTCAGTTTTTGCCGAGAAGAAATGGGTGAAGTGTTAAAAAGTTCAACATTTTCATCTGGTCCAAGTGACAAAATGAAATGGTAAGTGTTTGGGGTGGTGATTTTGTTTTTAACTTAATAATCGGCTGTTACAGTTGGTTTGTTGTTATTCTTGTTGCTCTCTCAGTGTACTGTTATTAGTACAATTTTACATTGAATTGGTAATATGTATCTAATAATATGGAGAATTATGAAGAACTGAGGGGACATTTATGGAAAAGCCATTTATGATTTCAGTATTGCTTCTCCTTTTATTGTATTCTGCAAGTATTATATTCTCCCAAGTGAGTCTGTTGTTTTATTTTAGGTGCCTGAGGGTAAATCCAAAGGGATTAGATGATGAAAGTAAAGACTACTTGTCCTTATATTTGCTTTTAGTCAGCTGCCCCAAAAGTGAAGTTCGAGCAAAATTCAAATTTTCCCTTCTGAACGCTAAGAGGGAAGAAACAAAAGCAATGGGTAAGTGATTTGCAAACTGAGTGAAGAAGTGTTTGCAATCCCTTGATGTTACCTAGAAAAGTCTGAAGGTTCCCCACCATGCTTAAATCTGCTTATCCTCAAATACTTAAATTGGCCATTGTCTTAATTTTAAATTTCAGTGGGAGTCTATGATTGTTTTAGTAAATCTTAGACTGTATAAGACATACGAGTTGTTATGTCCTGAAATAACATTTTACTTGTTACTTGGAAACATAGTTACTGTTAGGACAGGATACCTGGCATTAAATAATATGTTTAAGAAATATTTCTTTTCCTTTGATTTATTTGCTGCATAATCTGGAAAAAGATGTAGAGGAGAGAAGGAATGCCCTAATATCTTGGCACTAGAAGTTTTTGAGTGATAAACTCAGTACTGACTCCCAGAGACTATTAAATTCAGCCCAGAATTTATGTTTATTGCCCTAGTTGTTACCTGGAGTCTCATAATAAAAGACATATATATCAACATATCCTTTGATATATATAGGATACATTAAATGAGATAGTATCTCATGAATGGCCACACTAAATTTTTAATAATTTTTAGAACTAAAGCACAGAATCAAGTGCCTTTTTGTAACAATAACACATTTTAAAATATTGTATTGGTGAAGTAATTTGTATTTTTACCTTAATGTTTAAGATAGTGGAGAATGTCAGTTAGATCACTGGTTTTCTACCTTCATTTTAATAGACGTTAATAGATGATTTCTATAGAGGATCTTATTTTACAGTTATTACAGTATAGTAGGTATTTCAAGCATTTGCTTCTGATATCTATTTAAAAGCCTTTGATAAATCATGCTAAAACCTTCATGATAGTATTTTTTTCTTTTTATGTTTTTTGTTTTGTTTTTGCTGGTCATGGGGCTTAAACTCAGGGTTTGTCCCTGTGAGTCTCTCTGTGCTCAAGGTTAGCATTCTACCACTTGAGCCACAGCACCACTTCTGGCTTTTTCTGCTATGTGGTACTGAGGAATCGAACCCTGGGCTCCATGCATGCTAAGCAAGCACTCTACCACTAAGCCACATTTTAGAATCAGCCCCCTTTTTTTCTTTTTAATTTAAGGAATGATTAGGAGCTTTTTTGTGTGCCAGTTCTGGAGCTTGAATTCAGGACCTAGGTGTTAAACATTTTTGGTAGTTAATTTGTAGAGATGAGTTTCCTGCCTGAGTTGGCTTTGAACTGTGATCCTCAGATTTCAGCCCCCTAAGTAGCTAGGATTACAGGCATGACTCACCAATGCTAGCTGACTAGGAGCTTTTTTAACTTATTTACTAGATTTTGGATTTTCTGTAGTTAAGTAAAACTTAAATAGGTAGAATGTGTTTGTTAGGAATGCTTAAGAGATGTCTTGGTGATTTGGAGCATATATTTTAAAGGGAAGAAGCTGGAAATGAGAGGTACATTTCAACCTGAAGTCTAGCCAGATATTAAATAATGAGTATTCTGTACTGTATCTTTGTCAACATTGCATTTTAGGTTGAGACTGTTTTCAAAAAATTTCTCTTCTCTTGGGCTGGGAAGGTGGCTCAGTGGTAGAGTGCTTGCCTTGCATGCCAGAGACCCTGGGTTCGATTCCTCGGCACCACATACGCAAAAAGAAAAAAAAGCCGAAAGTGGTGCTGTGGCTCAATTGGTAGAGTGCTAGCCTTGAGCTGAAGAGCTGAGGGACAGTGCCCAGGCCCAGAGTTCAGGCCCCACAACCGGACCCCCCAAAAAAAATTTTTTTTATTTTCTCTACTAGATTTGATCTGAATTTTTCTTTAAAAGTCTAGAATTCTTAAATTGAGCTCACTGACCAAGTTATCTCATGGCCAAAATTTCAGTAGCAGCATGAATGATCTGGTTCTTCCTCACTTATTTCTTAGGGCAATGTTATTTGTGAACATACATACTTATATTTTTATGATGTATAGAACCAAGGCCTGCTTTTTTAACAGTTCATTTAAAATGTGTTATCATTATGAAAAATCCATTAAGAAAAAATGTCTCCTTTATACTTGTTTTATTTAAGCTTTTCTTTTCCATCAGAAAGCCAAAGAGCATATCGGTTTGTGCAAGGAAAGGATTGGGGATTTAAAAAATTCATTAGAAGGGATTTTTTGCTTGATGAAGCTAATGGTCTTTTACCAGATGACAAACTTACATTATTTTGTGAGGTGGGTATATATATGTACATATATATATATATATATATTAACTATAAAGAACCCTTATAATTGTATTTAGTAATATGGCAAAATGTAAACTGAACTACTCATGGTATATTTAAAATTAAGGAATTGGTATAGTTAATAAGGTTTCATTTGTAAATACTTGACCAAAAAAAAACTTGACTAAATTAAAACTTTCTTACAAATCAGTGTGGTGGCCCAAACGGAAAAATTTTGATCTTATCTCTAACTTTAAATTGTATGTGTCGTTACACTACTACATATTAAATCCTTTTCACTCTTGAAAAGACTAGATGTGCTTTTATGTGTGTATGAACTTTTCTAAATATCTTCTTCATTCTGAATAACACTGACATAGATGGCCAATTATTTTAGATTTTTCATATTAAACATACTACTCAAAGTTTATCAGTTTGAATTTTAAAAGTACCTGAAGGGAATCTTAATTTTTTAAACAGTTGGAAGGATTAATTATGTAGGTAATAGCATTCTGATAAATAGATCTCACAGGGTTAAATGTGTACATATTTGTTTTTGCAAATATATAAAGTAACTTTATATTCATAAAACTTTATAAAAGTTGTCAGTATTGCTCCTACCAATGACTTATTATTTGTCTTAATGTTTGGATTAGCTGTTGTCATTATGATCAATTAAGTAATTTCATCTGAATGAATTTTTGAGAATCATCTTTGGAATCAATTCAAGAATTATATAAGTACTGTTTCACTCAAATCCAAAAAACTTAAAGTACTTGTTGAGATTAGGCAGGTATTCCAAGTAGTAGACTAAATAAATACACTAAATAAAAATTTTACTATCCTAAAATGTAGAATCTTACAGATTTTAGCAGCTATCTTAAATTTGAATGTGTAACTTTTTAAAACATAGTCTTATAGTTTAATGGACCTTAAAGGTTATTTCAAAAGAAACTGCAGCCAGTCATCTTTTTTTCTTTTTTAATGAAAGGACCTTTATAGAAAATAATCCCTATGTTAGCATTGAAATATTGATTTTTGGTAATTTTCTAGGTGTATTTTGCTGGAACCTAGACAATTAAATTCAGAATTAAGGCTGAAATTAAGTTCAAGGTTTTTTTTGTTCTGTATATTTGAAGTATGTTAAGTATCTGTATGTTAGATTATACATGTTAGTTACCCTCTAAAAGTTGAGCCAACCATGACATACAATTTTTTAAGTTGGCATTGATCCTATCTATTTTTAGATCCCAAATTATGCATTTGTACCCTGGGCACCATGTTTAGCATAGGTGGGCAAAAAGTGCTTTTAACAACATTATTCGTGCCCTCGGTCATTTCTTCCACCCCTCTCATGGATGCCCTTCCTTCGACAGCATCTCTAGCACTGCTTGAGGAAGAGGAGGAAGCATTGCACTGCCCTCCCTAAGAACTGCCTCCTCCCCCTCCCCTGCCAAGTGGTGCTGTAGACAGGTAAGGCAGGTGGGTGCTACCCTTTCTATACAAGACAGCGTAATCTTGCAGGGTAACTGAAGTGGTAAAAGATAGATGAAACTAGCAATATAAGAGAAGAGGCTCTGCCTCCTCTTTCCATATAATGCAGAAAACAGGAATAAGCAATAAATAAAACTAGAAAACTGATTATGTTAGTTCATCTTTGTAAAACCCAACGAATTTTAAATACTCAGTGTTAAGTTTACAGATTCAAGCCATTTGTGAAATATGGGAAAAAGAAGTAAAACTAAACTCATTATTTTTAAGAACACATCTTTTTCATACTATTTATTTTATTAATATATATAATAGCTTTTCTATTTTAAAATATTTTGTAATAGTGGGTATAAGTTGGGTTTTATTTTCAAAACCACCTGTCTTGGCAAAATGAAAAGCCGACTACCATGTATGTCACTAGATTTTTTTAAAAGGCACCTATCTGTGAAAGTCAGAAACTAAGACCCAATAATCTAGAATTCAGTGAAAAAATTGAATCTTAAAAGTTTAGAGCCAGAGTGGGGAGATAGATGAGGATAGTTTATTGGAGGAATAGCTTGTAGTGTACTACATAGCTTCAAGATTTCCTAGGTTTTAGACTAGTTTGGAGTTCATGTTTTTAAAATTGAAACTCGTAGTTACCTTAACTCCATAGTAGAATGAATTTAGATTTTAGGATAGTCATTTGATTAACTGCCTCAGTTTTTCATCTTTATATTGTTAGTATTGAGTCAAATATGTTTGAAAAACAACTGTTGAATAAGTAAGTAGAATCTCAGCCTTCTTCCTGAATTTTTAATTCTAGGTTCCATGACTAAGCCTATTTCCACTATCTTTTTTGAATAATAGGGAATACTAAATTTGTATAATTTGTTTAATTATAGACATGAAGAAACAGTCATAAAAATCATGGCATGTCAATTTTTGTTAGGTCACTATTTTTCTATAAATAGTCACTTGAATATTCTTTAGAGTATGAAATGTTAATTATTAGTTCAAATTAGTGGTTATGTGATGGTATTAGGTAAGTTAATAATAGAAATCCTTGTAAATTATGGTTGCTTAAATTATCATTGCTTATCAGGATACAAATAAAAACATCTGTGTCTATACCTGATAATATCTATATTACCTTAATCCTTTTTTTCTATCACCTGGCTGTTACAAAATTTTTACTGTAAGTATATTATTTTAAATACAATTGGGATGGATAAGTGGAATTAAAAAAATTCTATACTGGTTGAGTGCCGTGGATCACAACTGTGGATTGTAGTTCAGAGCTAGCTCAGCCAAAAAGGTAGTGAGACACCATCTCGATTAGTTAGGCATGGTGAAGCAATTGGTAGGAGTATTTGGATCTGAGGCAAGACCCCATCTAGAAAATAACTAAAAGCAAAAAATGTTCAGGGGCATCACTCAAGTGGAGGAGCACCTGTGTAATAAGCTTGAAACTCCAAGTTCAAAATCCAGTGCCACTAAAAGAAAAAAAGAAGCCTTTCCTTAATTAATAGTTGTCACATTTTTAAAAATAAATAATACATACTTTATGTAAGTAGTTTACTAGTCCTGGTTGCTTCTGACTAGAAATTTCTAGAGTAATGCTTCTTGATAAGAACAATGAACACACTATGTGTATAAAAAAAAAATCCTGATCCTTAACTAAAGCTTGAATATTAACAGCAATAGTATTAGTTTATATATCATTGGCATTTAATATGTAGTATAACAGGGTAATCAGGTAATCAGGTAGCTTTTTTCCTTGTTTTAGAAGTTTGAAGAATTTGATAAATTATAGATGACCTTAATTGGTATATTTATTTATATACACAAAGCCCTTGTATTTAGAAAAACCATCTCAGAAGAAGAGTTTTGTAATACATTAAGTCATTATCATGTTACAGAGTAATATTGCTTAATTTTAAATAGCACTTTAAAAATTGCTATTTAGAACAAGTAATTTAATAATTGAAATAATTTGTTTTTTCTCATACAAACTAGTATTAAGATTTTTAGGGCATTTTATCTATCTTGTCTTAATAACACTTCGAAATCTCTGTAAAATAAGGTGAATTGATTAGGTGATAATGTGACACTTATGGGTCCAGAAAGGTTAATATTGTGTGTTGGTGGGAGAACACTTAATATCTAAAGGTTTTCTCATTTTTCGATAGTTTTCTTTAATTCACAAGATGGATGTTCATCTGTGTTTATCCAGACTCTAAAAACATTATATGTTGGACTTTATTATGCTTCATGTATTAGTATGTTAATAATTTTGACACAGTTTGTCCATTTTAATTTCCATTTTGCTGTATGTACATTTTATGTATCCTTATGCATACTTTAAAAAAACTGAAAATAATTATCTATTGCTGCATAATAAATGACCAAAAAAGTTGGCAATATAAAAATAACAGATAGCTAACAGCACTCCTTGTTTAATTTTGAAAGATAATTTATTTGTTCTGAAGATTTATTAGCTGAAATTGTATTTGATATATTAGAGTACCTTTTAAAGTGATATAAAAGGCTTAGCTAATATTTAAGATTTTAATTTTTAATCAGTTTAGTGGGTTTTGGTTTAAATATAACATTGAAGTTGCATAAAAATAATCGTTGTAGTCATACCAACTTTTGTTATTTATTTCATAGGTAAATAAAATGTCAACAAATTGAACTAAATTATTATTACTCTTGCTGTTGATTTTCCATAAGAGGTTTTCATGAACTTTTAAGTCAGTTGTACTAGCTATTTAAATCAATTCTGGTGGAATTAAAATTTGTAGGTGCAACACTTTAAAGAAGTTTCCAATTTACATATCATGGGATACAGCTTTATGTTTTATACTTGAGTCATCTGGTATATATACTAAAATTTAAATGTTAATAGGTCTGAAATATAAGTGAAAAAAGCTTTCTTCCTCCATAAAAATACCATTTTCTTGTTTAACATTATATTGAGGGTTTCCTATTGCAAAATAGTGTCAGAGGTTATAATAATTTAGCTTCCCAACTAATTGATGTCATTTATTTACAGAAATTGTTACTACTCAATAAAAAGATCTGGTTGTCTTCTGATTTTTCTTAAAGCATTTCTCTCATTTGTGTTTCATTTGTGAATTCATTTCCTTGATACTAGGATCTTTTGATCAACAGTACTGAATAAGCCAATGATTTTAAAGATACTAATAAGTATAGATATAATAAGTAATTATTGATAATACTTAGTGAATGTCTTTTTCCTGCTGTCTCTTTTTCAATAGGTGAGTGTGGTCCAAGATTCAGTAAACATATCAGGACATACTAATACAAATACTTTGAAGGTGCCTGAATGTCGACTAGCAGAAGATTTAGGTAATCTCTGGGAAAACACAAGATTTACAGATTGCAGTTTTTTTGTTCGAGGACAAGAATTTAAAGCTCATAAATCTGTGCTTGCAGGTACTTTATACTTTGGATAAAATAATACATTTTTAAAATAAATGTGTGTATTAAATAATGATACTCAATCTTATTGCAGCTCGATCCCCGGTGTTTAATGCAATGTTTGAACATGAAATGGAAGAGAGCAAAAAGGTAAAAATGGCTCATAGGTTTAATATTTAATTGTACATAGAATATTAGTACATGTTCTTATTGTTGTATTGTGATGAGTAGGGGAAATATTTGCAAGTCATATAAACAGCAGAAAACTTGTGTAGCAGAATGATAGGTGCAGCTCCCTGTGAATGCTCAATGAATATTCTAAGCAGTAGCTGTGGTGAAGCTCTTCTGGAAGGTAAACTAGTAGGTAGCTGTTACCCTGCAGGGTGTGGCTTAAGGTTAGAGCCCTGGATTCAATTCATTCTACTACCACAGAAAGAAGGGGGTGGGAATTTGATGCTGTGTTAGTCTGTAGCTAATTGAGAGGTCTTTGTTTAAATTGTATATTCTTCCTTTCTTTCTGTGAGTATGCCTCAATTAACAATGCCTGACTAAAATATATGAGGCTTGAATTCAAACCTCAGTACCACCAAAAAATAAACTATGCACTCCCCATTTCTAAACATTGTAAGTTAACTTTCTTGTTTTCTAGCAGCAAAACTCATGTCTAAATTTTCTCACCACCAAAAAAGATATATATTAGAATTAACAAAAATGCCAGGCACCAGTGGCTCATGCCTGTAATACTAACTACTCAGGAGGCTTAGCTCTGAGGATCATAGTTCAAAGCCAGCCTGGGCAAGGAAAGTCCATGAGACTCTTATCTCCAATAAACCACTAAAAAACTGGAAGTGGCGCTGTGACTCAAGCGGTAGAGCACTCGCCTTGAGCTGAAGAGCTGAGGGATAGCACCCAAGCCCAGAGGTCAAGCCCCACAACTGACCAAAAAAAAAACCCAAAAAGGTCATACTGTATCAGTACTAGTGTATACTCAGTAATCTCAGGTGTTTCTGTCTTCTGTCATTTACAAATGAATTTATATTAGAGATCAGATGTTGATATTTTTTTCTTTGCCAGTTGCATAATGTGAGCTTTAAGGCTCCCACTGGACAACTCCAGTTTATTCATGTAGCCTAGCTTTGAAGAATTACAAAATTAAGTATCTGCTTTCTTTCCACTCATGGTTGACCTAGGGACTGCAATGTCCAATGTTCAGATGACATCTAAGTGATTTCTATAGGAGGGGGATATCAATGGTATCAAATGTTATTGATAGTAAGGTGTCAAAAAACCTGGTGTTGTTTAGCTTCATTGTTTTTAGGAGAGAACTGAATGCCAAGATACAGAAGTGAAAAAGCAACTAATCCTCCTGAGGCAGTGTCTCTCTTACCCCAAACACCTACTTGTCCTCTGTTTGCTTAGTGCTAAGGATACAGCTGTTGGTTTTGGATTTTTAGACATTTTATTAGAATGTAGAAATCCAACAAGGAAGTGTTAATAGCCATCATTCTCTAAGGTAGAAATCAGAAACTGGACATGGATGTATTTTGTTTTACCTATGGAATTTTTAAAAATCTTTTTAATATTGAAAAAGTAGGATTTGCATTCCACAGAGTAGTGCTTAACTGCATATGAAGATGTATACTTTAAAGCTGGAAATGGTCCCCATCTTCTACAAAATATATGCTGTTTTTAGACTTTTACTGTAGGTTTGCTTATTCACTTACTGAAAATTTACATATATATCACTTTTAAAAAACATCTGTATGTGTGTGTGTGTGTGTGTGTGTGTGTGTGTGTGTGAGTGGCAAAGTACTTTTGTTCAGATTTGGGTATTTTAATTGCTGTCAAAGATTCAGATTAGTTCATTTGTATGTAAGTATTTTTTAAGACTTTTTCTATGTTGTTTTCAATATCAGAACCAAGTGGAAATAAATGATTTAGACCCTGAGGTTTTTAAAGAAATGATGAAATTTGTTTACACGGGAAAAGCACCAAATCTTGATAAAATGGCTGACAGCTTGTTGGCAGCTGCAGACAAAGTAAGTAATTAGGTTTTAAGGAGCTGAAAAATATCCTAAAGCTTGATGTATATAGAAGACTATCATCAAATGAAAACTCCCAACTGTTTTCAAAGTATTGAATTATACAATTTGTAGGTGGCTCTTCAGAGTTTTATGAAATAGCATACAGTAGGATAATACAGAACTGAGATTGTTTAAGCAAATGACAAGCTGTAAAAACACCTTGAAAAAGAAAGAATTAAACTATAAGCATAATAGTTTTGAATATGTTTATGTATATTATATATATAAATAGCCTTTGATAAGAATTACAAGCATATAAAATTATTAGAATTTTCAAATTCTTGGTATTCATATGTAGTGTTTTTAAGATGAAACATTTGTATTCATAAATTAAACTTTTTAATATGACAGCATGGAAGGTAGAGAAACATCTTGACAATTTTATAATGTAATAATTTCTTTTAAGGTAGAAAAGCTCAGAGGTCTCAGAAAATCTTAAATCTAGCACATGTCAAACCTAAAAGCACACTGTATGTATGTCTTTTATATTTAGACTGTATAAGAACTCTCAAAATTAAACTTTAAAGAATTTGTTATTTCCAAGAGTGTACAGAATGCTTGAACACTTTCTGAAATAAATGAAATATTAAAAAACCCCAACGTCATCAGGAGGATATAAATTAAGACACAGTGATGGTAGGCCTGTGCACACCTCAATAATAGCTAATACTATAATGATTATACTATTCTGAAGTTATAAAAGAATTAGGACTCTCAGACACTGCTAATGAGAGTATAACAGGTTTTAACTACTTTGGACAGTTGTTCGGCACTTTCTTAAAAAGTTAAAATCACATACTTGAATAAATCCACTTTTAGATATTTGGCTATGTAAAAGAAAGCCTATATAAATATAAAATTTCTATGTGGGTGTTCACAGCAACATTATTTGTAATAGCTGAGTACTGGAAATAACTCAAATATTCAAGTAGATAGACAAATTCTGGTATATGTATATATATCTGTATATATATATATATATATATATATATATTTAATGGAATACTGATCAAGAATAAGGATTGAACTGTTTAACACATGAGCAGTTACATACATGGATCTGAAATTAATTGTTTTGGGGAAAGATTCAGACAAAAATGACTATATAGATCTTTAGAGTGATTGTAGTAAACATAAACTAATCCTAATGACATGTAAAATATGTGAATTTATAATTAATAGACTTGTGTTCCACATATAAACAATACTACTTATGCACCTCAGGTATAGCACAAAGGAGAAAAGACCCACCTTATGAAACCAACGTGATATCTTTCCCTGCTTTTCATTTTTAATAAAATTACTCTTTAGGCTAATGCTTTGTTTGTTTGATTGTACCAGTCCGGGGATTGAATTCTGGGCCTGCCACTCTCCTCGAGTTCTTATGCTCAAGGCTAGAGCTCTACTACAGCTCTACTTCTGGCTCAGATTTCTTTTAACAGAAAGGCCGGCGAGCCATTTACCAGTACACTGTTCATGCCTGTAATCCTGAGTTCTGAGAATCCAGGTTTGAAGCCAGCCTGGGCAGGAAAGTCTATGAGACTCTTATCTCCAGGTAAACACCATAGAACCAGAAATAAAGCTGTAACTCAAATGGTTGAATTCTAGCCTTGAGCATAAAAACCCAGAAACAGCTTCCAGGCCCAGAGTTCAGGCCCCAGGACTGGCACACACACACACACACACACACAAATAATAAAATAAGTTTGAAAGCTGATCTTGCATGGCTTTAAAAAAAATGAGTACATATTTCTGATTCTATTTGTAGGAACTTAAAGAAATGCAAACTAATTTATAATGATAACTATAAATTAGAAGCTGCCTGTGGTGGAACAAGAGGAAAAGATTACAAAGGGATAAGGAAAAATCTTTTGAGGACAATGAGTCATTACCTTTGGAATAGATGATGATTTTTATGGCTGTAAAACTTATCAACATGTAAACCTAAATAAACATTTTATTGTAGGCCAACTATACCTCAAAGTTGCTAAAGATGCATGCTATAATAATTGAAGGACTTTTTATTGGTATTAATATGATTTGTTTAGCTTTCAGTTCATTCTTCAGGTTTGAGTAGTGGCAAAAGGCAGTGATTCTCATTGGTATACTCCAGGTGTGAAATAATGAAAAAGAAATATACTCAGTTATGAATATATAATATATGCATTAGTTATAAATAAGGCTTCAGAATATAAATAAAATTTTAGTGTAAAGAATAATGTAGAGTAATATACTGTATTTTCCACTAATGTAAATTGAATTTTTCCAAGGTAAATTACTCTTTCTCCTAAATGTATTCAATCATATTTTCTTTACATTAAGTTAAAACCATGATTCAGTGATTAAAATAACCTTAATTCAGAGAGTATTCTAGTTTATTTTATAAGTTGCAAATGTCATGTATTTGAAAACTTAGTCATTGTAGTAAGTGCTTAATGGTTGTATTTTTCTTGGATAGTATGCACTGGAACGGCTGAAGGTCATGTGTGAAGAAGCTTTGTGTAGCAACCTCTCAGTAGACAATGTTGCTGATACCCTTGTCCTTGCAGATTTGCACAGTGCAGAACAGTTGAAAGCACAAGCCATAGACTTTATTAATAGGTAAGCTGCTTTTATTTCATTTGACATGACACCTTCAACCTTTTCTCATCATATTTTGTTTAAGTGTGTTTAAATCTTTAATGCAGGTGCAGTGTACTTCGACAACTTGGGTGTAAAGATGGGAAAAACTGGAACAGCAAGTAAGATGTCATCAGTTTCTATCTGCATAAATGAAAATTGTTTTTGTAGCCTTTTCTACCATAAGTATAAATCCAGGTGTTAGTGATATGAAACAAATTGCCAGTTACTTTTTTTAAAAAATTGACAACTTAGTGGATTCCTGAGGCTCTGCTCCCTTGTAGATCAGCTTATAAAGAAAACTAGCTTGGCTGCCTCTAATGTTGGAAGTATTCATTTAATCCAATGAGGAGTATTTTGCCCAAATTTGCTTTGAAAGTCTTCACATTTTTTTTCTTCAGTACTGAGGGTTAAATTCAAGGGCATTGTACATAATAGGCATACACTCTTCTGCTACACTAAATATATCCTCAGACATTGCTTAAGATTTTATTTTCCAAACCTAGCCTCAAACTTGTAGTTTACTGCCCTAGACCCTCCCAAAATCAGGATTATAGGCATGCATTACCCATAGCTAGTTTAAACTTTTAAATTTTTTGTTATTCTTTTTGCTATGTAGTACAAGAGTCTTGCTGTGGCTGAGTGTGCTTGTAATCCTAGCTATCCAGGAGGCTGAGATGTGAGGATTGCAGTTCAAAGCCAGCCCTGGCAGGAAAGTCCCTGAGGTTCTTATCTCCAATTAATCACCAGAAAACAGGAGGTGGCTCTGTGGCTCAAGTGATAGAGTGCTTGCCTTGAGCCGAAGAGCTGAGGGACAGAGCAGGCGCAGAGTTCAAGCGCCACTACTGACCAAAAAAAAAAAAAAAGGTCTTTCTATGTAGTTCAAGCTAGCCTTGAATTCACGATACTTCCACTTCCTCCTTCCAAGTTCTGAGATTACAGACATGAACCAATACAGACATGTACCAATACACTAGGCCCTAAAAGTCTTTATTTTTGAATGCTAAGCCACTGCTCTTTGGGTTAGCCAAAGCCTTGCCTTATATGCTATATACTAAATTGTCTAACAATCCCAAAATGGTAGCACTTTGATTTTTCCTTTTCCACAGTAAACCCATAAGTTGGGTTATTACTATCATTCTAGTCTTAGGTCTTTGGATGAACTGTTTCTGTTTTCCCTTTTCTTATTTTTAGAGTGACTTTTCTATTCCTTGAAATTATTTTGAAATCAAATAGGGAAGATAAATGACAAATTGAAAGTATTCACCATTTTTTATAAATTTTACCTATAAACTCATAAATTATTCAAATTATTAAATATCATAGCAAGTGCCAAGCCAATCTGAGGTATCTAACAAACTCTACAAAATCAAAAAAATATTTTAAGTTGATGTAGGAATGTGTGAAAAAAAAGTAGGGCCATGTTAAAGACAGTAAAATGAATTGGTTTGTTGACCAAATTAATTATTTACTATTCTTTTCATCTGTTTAGTACATATAAAGTTGGTTAATTGAATTTCTATTTGCTTGTGAATTCTAGTTTATGAAAGTAAAGAGCATTGGCAACTTTCAAATCATTGGTTGTCTTCTGTACTACCCAGTGTGATAATATGATATCATCATGTTGTGTTATACAAAATTAGTTTTAATTTAAAATATGCTGCATTAGTACCAAATGACAATCTTTTTGGCTGTACTGAGATTTGAACTCAGGACATTGTACTTGTTAAGCAGACAGTTTTACACTTAAGCCATTTTACCAGTCCCAAGAAATGACAATGATACTTTTTTTATGAGTTTTAGACTGCTAAGAAAATGCAGGCTGGGAAGGTGGCTCATTGGTAGAGTGCTTGCCTTGCATGCATGAGGCCCTGGGTTCGATTCCTCAACACCACATAAACAGAAAAAGCTAGAAGTGGCGCTGTGGCTCAAGTAGTATAACGCTAGCCTTGAGCTGAGGAACAGAGGGACAGCGCCCAGGCCCAGAGTTCAGGCCCCATGACCGAGCCCCCCGTCCCACAAAAAAAGATATAATAAATACTATGTAAATATTTTTGAATAGTAGTTATCAATAAAATTTTATTTGCCAAACATTGAATACCAACCAGTATAACATGTTTAGAAGTAGGTGGAGTGGTACATAACTATAATCCTAGCACCCTGTAGGCAGAGGCAGGAGGATAGGGAGTTTGAGGCTAACGTAGCCTACGTAGTAAGACCTGCCTCAAGAATTAAGCCAGACATGGTGACAGTCATGAAATCCCAGCTATTCAGGGAAAAGAGATGGAGGATTCCAAGTGGAAGAACAATCTGGTCAAAGTTAATGAGACTGCCTCAAAAGCAAAAGAGATATAGCTCAACTACTAGAGTTGTAGCAATGAGGTCTAGGTCAGCCTTAGTATAGAAAAAAAAAAAAGGAAAGAAAAGGACAATGATGAAAGGAAAAGAAAGGAAAGAACTATCAGTCTTTTAAAATGCCCTGGAGAAGTATAAGCTCTCAATAGATACTTATTGAATTAATAAATGAAGGTATCAGCTTATCAATGTGATTCTAAATGTAAATACCTACTTCTAAACATGTTATACTGGTTGGTATCCAGTGTTTGGCAAATAAAATTTTATTGATAACTACTATTCAAAAATATTTACATAGTATTTATTATATCTTTTTTTGTGGGACGGGGGGCTCGGTCATGGGGCCTGAACTCTGGGCCTGGGCGCTGTCCCTCTGTTCCTCAGCTCAAGGCTAGCGTTATACTACTTGAGCCACAGCGCCACTTCTAGCTTTTTCTGTTTATGTGGTGTTGAGGAATCGAACCCAGGGCCTCATGCATGCAAGGCAAGCACTCTACCAATGAGCCACCTTCCCAGCCTGCATTTATTATATTTTAAGCAACATTCTGAGGTGCTGCATAATAAAAATATTTGAAGAACCTTCCTTCCTTAACACTTTAATAGAAATAAGTACATAACTATGCAATTTATTACAAGAGGTAGATATATGTGACTAAGCCTGGAACTTTAGGAATGGCTTCTGGCAGATCTGAACTGAGTCTTAAAACAAAGAGTAGCAGTAGCAGATGTAAGAAAAATGGATCACACAGTACAGACAGAAAAGATAGCATGAATCAAAGTATAAAGAGGTAGCTGATTATTTGACAGAGTTTTGTTTTTTATTATTTTGTAAGTTTCCAAGGTACTGTACTTGGCACAGATAATATATAGTGATGAGAACAACTGATGTTTTCCTCTTTCCAAGGACTATGATATAGTAGCAGATTATTTAACAATTAATTTCCAATAAGTCATGATGGTAAAGAATGTGTGGAATACCTGAAGCAGCATATAGCAAAGGGGTCAAAGAAAGCCTTTTTTGCAAAGTGCTTATTGTTCAAACTTGTAATCCTAGCTACTCTGGAGGCTGATATACAAGGATAGTGGTTCAAAGCCAGTCTGGACGTTAACGTCTGTGAAACTCTTATGTCTAATTAATCATTCAAAAAACCAGAAGTAAGCTGAATGTTGCTGGCTCACTCCTATAATCCTTTCTGCTGAGGAGGCTGAGACCTATGGATCACAGTTCAGAGTTAGCCGGGATAGGAAAGTCCATTAGACACTTAGCTCCATTTAAACACCAGAAAACCAGAAGTGGAGTTCTAGCTCATAATGGTAGAGCACTAGCTTTGAATGAAAAAGCTCAGGGACAGTGCCCAGACCCTGAGATCAAGCCTGATGGCAACCCCCCCCTCCCCCCCAAAAAAAAACAAAGCCAAAAGTAAAGCTGTGGATCAAATGTAGAACATCAGACAAAGCTGAGGGACAGCACCCAGGCTTTAAGTTCAAGCCCATGTACCAGAGCAAAGGCAACCAAAACTAAAAGCTTTTTCTACAAATTATAAAAATAAAGATGTGGAGTATTGGTAGGGACTTGTATGGTGAAGAGAAGTAGAAGGAAAGTGTATCCCAGAAGAGAAAATAAAAGATTTTGCACAGTTCTAGTAAGAAAGAGGGAGTCTCAAGTGCACACTAGTCTAGTATTGTCCATGTATGTAGGTTGGGTAATGAGAAGGAGATGGAGAAGGCAGATCAGATCCCACAACAACCTGGTAACATTAGTACTTTTCTTAGTATTGAAAGAGTAATGAGCCTTCACTAAAGTATAGGGCATAATCAAGTTTCGGTTATAGCAAACTTTTCTGCTTGCAAGTTGGAAAGTAGATTTTGAGGAAGCTGGAGTGGTGGTGGTAGTTGAGGAATAAGGTTTAATACAGGCAGGCCAGCTGGAAAGTTACTAATGTAGGCAAAGAGATTAGACTTTATTGATCACAATGAGACTACAAAGAAATCAAAGTTCATAAGAATCATTTTGAAGGGGGAATCTAAAGTATTTGATTATTTGTATATTTTGGCTGGTAAAAGTGAAAAAAGGAAAGAGTCACTTTACTCAGATTTCTTTCTTACTGGTGGCATGTTTCCTATGTAGGTACAATAAGCAATTCAGTAGTGGAGTATAAAAAGCCAGATCATTGAAGTAGCAGTGGAAAGCAACAGAGAAAGTAGGGAGCAAGCATTAACCAGGTTTCTTGTTCCAAAGACTTAAATATCTGGAAGGGGACCTCTGGAAGAGAGCATAATATAATATAATACGTTACTAAGAAAGCATTGCAACAACCTCAATTAAGGGGAGTAAGATAAGAAACTAGAACAATGCATACTTCAGGGATTAAACTTTTAAAACCTTCATTCTTTGATTTGAAACAAAACAACAGTAAGACTTTTAAGATAATTTAAATGATTTGAACATATGGAGAAAGTTAGGCAGTGTTTAGACATTTCAGAATTCACATATGAAAAAAACAGGATAAGTTAACATTGTTCATTTTAGGAAAGATTCATTAATAACCATCATTATATTTCATTTTTTAGCCAAGCAGCTGACATAATGGAAACATCTGGGTGGAAGGCCATGATTCAGTCTCACCCTCACTTAGTGGCAGAAGCTTTTCGAGCACTGGCATCTGCACAGTGTCCGCAGTTCGGCATTCCACGCAAACGGCTAAAGCAGTCCTGACACTTCCATGGACAGTAGAAATCGGGATTGACTTTACTCTTCCAGGTGCAGAAGGATTCTGATATAGACCACAAGCAGGAGTTGTTTCTGTTTTCTTGTCCACAGAACAGAAGCTGGAAAGTCATATTGCTTGCATTTCAAGTGGATAATTTATGGTTTATACTTCAGCTTTAAATTAGACTGATTAATTCACTTCAAGGCCTTAAATTATCTTCAATGACTTCTCTTGTTCATAGAATAATTTTTTTATTGTGCCTTGCATTTTGACCAAGGCTATGCAGGATTGCACTAGCTCCATAATGCAGTAATATTGATAACTGAAGATACTAAGTTTCAAAAGAATCTTCCATTATTTTGAGAAAAGGAAAATTAATTTTATAGGGTTTGTCCTATGTTATCTCAAAGTATAAAACTAGGTTCTCCTTCAAAGCACTTGTATTGGAGAATATCAGGAATGTCTCCAGTCAGAGCTCTATAAATATAGAAGAACCTGCTTACCTTCAGGGTAGGTTATGGCAATACATTGCTTCAATTTAATTTATTTCCATTTCAGGGGCAAATATGCAATGAGTTAGCCCAAATTTTTAGTAAAATCTGTGATGTTTGTCCTTATGTTCACTGTCCAAGAAACTGTGGGTTTATCTGAGTTTACAATAACTGAGAACTGATTGAGGTTAAGATTTCAGTAAAAGGGCATATTTTATGCTGAAGTAATTTTTTTAATTTATAATGACCTATGTTTATATGAAGAATTCTGTACATGTTGAAAGTAAGGATGACCAAATGTAAATTCATGTGGGCCAATTAAGAAAGATATATATGCACTTTTAATGTGTAACTTTTGTATTATGAATGGTACATATATTTTTTTGCTTTTGAGGAAATTAATAAGTATAATTGTGTTTTAACTTTTGGAAGAATTTTTTAAAATAGGAGGCAACTGAGATGTTTGTGATAATAGATAAGGAAGATCCTTGATGATGGATGAATTAGTTTGATTTCACATATTCATTATTGAATTTATTTCTGCTTTATTTCACTTTGGACAAGGCACCCAGACAGTAATGGAATCATGGACAGTCCACTTCCTTTAAACACTGAATGGTATCATGGCCTGTGAAAGATGCATAGTAAAGGAGAGACCCATAGACTATGTCAGGCTACACTAAGACTTTTTTCCCCACATTTTCTCCTTTGTGTTTTAGTTACTATACTAACATTATGGATGATTGAAATTCTGTATAATGTGAACAGGATAAACTATTTATAAACTGCTTTATATGGGCCAGTTCTTTATTCTAATGAATCTTAGCTTTAAAGACACAACTATTCAGAGTTGTGAGATCTCTTCCTGTACACTGTTACAGAGAAGCAGGAGTGATCAGTGTCCAGGTCACTGTATCCAACTTACTTCAGCACTATCAGTGCACTTCTTAGGCAAGATTTATATTTGACTGCAAGGAAAAAAGCGTGTCACTGAGAAACACAAATGCATATACCTATATGTGGGATAATTTGTGTATTTTGTTTGTGAATTCAGGATAAAAGGAGAAATAGGAAGCTTGAGGTTGTAAAGTGGATTTAATTTGCTATCACTTTATTAAATGTTAACTGAAGCATTCCTAAGACATCAGGAGTGATTCATCTTTACATTGAACATTTTCAAATAAATATTTGTTGTCCACAACAAACTGGAGTCTGAAAAAATTATATTTTTAAATATCCTATATTAATTGAGTCTTGGTTATGGCAACTTAAAATCGGAAGAATCCCTTAGGATAGAAGCAAGATTCTTACCTGGTGATCATCTTTAATCCTATACAAGAAGATCATGGCAAGTAGAAATTAATTTCCTTAACACTACTGAAAGATTGAGTCTGTTAAATTTATAATGTGCAATTAAAAAATAAACTTATATACAAATACACACTTTTATTCTTATGGCCTTAGGAAAAAACAAACATTTTCCCAGCCATAGAAATTTATTAAAGTATATTTAAAAAATAGTGTACCCATTATCAAATGCATATTGTGAAATAATTCACTGCTTCAGTCTACATTTCTTTTTTTTTTGGTCCGGTCGTGGGGCCTGAACTCTGGGCCTGGGCACTTTCCCTCAGCTCTTCAGCTCAAGGCTAGCGCTCTACCACTTGAGCCACAGCGACACTTCCGGCTTTTTTTTTCTTTTTGCTTATGTGGTGCTGGGGAATCGAACCCAGGGCCTCATGCATGCAAGGCAAGCGCTCTACCACTGAGCCACCTTCCCAGCCCCTTCAGTCTACATTTCTAACTACAGTGACTCTAGAAGTGATCCCATATAGTGAGCATTTCAGCTTGCCCTTACTCTATTGCATATCTTAATGATCTTACTATAAGGTTTATGTTTTGTTTTTAAGTTCTGCTAGCATATTTTGTACCAAAAATGTCAAACACTGTGCTGTGTATGTATGTTTGTAAAAATGTCCACTGTTCAGATAATATAATGCCTACCATTATACTAATGAATCATATGGAAGTTGATTTATTTTTTTATTTATTATGTATATTTTTGGTATTATGAGTTCTTGAAGCAACGATTTTTAAAAACTTGTATTCCTATTTGAGTGCTCTAAACCTTGTCCCACCCATTTCCCCATTCCATACTATAGGCATTCTGTTCAAAATAGGCACAGTTTCTCTCTAGAGCAGTTTTGGCTTTTAAACTAACAGCAGCTGCCATTTCCCTTTTGTCATCTAGACAAGATTTTCCTTAAAAAGTAGTGAGTGGTTTTAGCTATTATATATTAGAAAAATAACCATTAAAAATTGTACTTCACACCTAAGATCTATAAGCACTGTATCTGTGCCTTTTTCATTTTGTTAGTTTTAATGTATATTTGTATTTGGAGCACAAATATGAAGGTGCCGTGATATGGCTTGCCAATGTTACCTCCTTGAATACTCTTAAGTCGTTGTCTTCAAGTGGTGATTGAAAACCTTGCATAAATTGAGTGGTTATTTGTGTGAGGGTGTGTGTGTGTGTGTGTGTGTGTGCGCAAACACATTCATGTGCACATGCATTGGTGTGTGTCTATATATTCACCTGAGCTTGTAAATTGTTCAGAAGAGTTAATTATTTCTGAAAATAGGACTTAGTTCAGTGTTGACAGTTCAGGTTAGTTAACGTGTTTCCTTTAAATGGGTTTTATTTGGGTAGGTAGTTGATTAACTGTAAATCATACCCAAATTTGACCACTTTACTGCATGACAGAATTTGAAAGCTGTGCCTTTTAAGGATGTCCATTGTAATTAAGTTTTAAAATATTAACATAGGTCTCTTAAAAAGGTGTTATGATCATTATTGGTTCATTTTTAAGTTAGAGCTAAATGACAGCCTAAATTGTCAAATGTTTAGTTATTATTTTACCTATGTTTACCTATGTAAAATTTTATGCATAAATTTAAAATCATAGCAGCAGTTTAAAATTGTGGATAAGTGCTGTGGTTATACCTCATTGGCAAAAGTACTTATTAGTACTTGTGAAAATTTGGGTTTAATCCCCAGCACTGTCAGAGCACACACACATGCATGCATACATACACACACACACACACACACACACACACACACACAAAAATATGGATTATAGCTGCTATTATTACTAAAATATAAAAGGACCTTGTCTAAAAATTTTGTGATAATCCAACTTAACCATCTTTGAAAGACAACAAATAGCCACATATTCTTAAGCAGGTATACTAGTCTGACTTGAACATACATGACTTCTGATGGGTAAAAGATATAGTATATTCCTAAAAAAGGAGGTGGGTAGATAAGTGGAATTGTTTAATGTTACTAGAGAGTATAGAGCACTGTCAGCACACATGAGAGTATTTTGCAAAGTTTTAATACAGATAATGAACTCTACTTTATTGAAACATTCATAGGATGATGCAAATTTTAGGTTCAGTTGGAAAAATATTGAGTGCCTACCATATGCAAGACTTCCTCTTCACTAGGAATGAAATCACACAGTGTCTTCTGTTTGTAGTATGTGAGCTTGTTTGAAAAGGAATTCTTATATTTAAATATTTTTCTGTTACTAGTTAGTCGTTGTATATTGTAATCCAGTTAATTTGTGTTTGTTCAGCTTTTAATAATGAAGATATAACTTAATTGATTCACATTTCTGGAAATCAGGCTCTGCTAAAATTATTTAAATTTAAAATTTTTGTTCAAGACAGTTGACTTTCAAGATTTCAATGTATAAAAGCTTACCAAACTTTTCAACGTTGTTTTTAATCAGTTGGTGTTAATGATGAGATATATGCTCCTTGTATCTGGTTGCTGAAAATATCTTTTGCATTTCAGCACTGTTGAGGTAAAAATAAAGTTGTTACTACTTAATCACAATTACTTGGCTTATTTTGTGTTTATTTGAATCTTCCCTAAAAATGTCTTTCGTAGTGTGTTGCTGCTTTCTTTTCATATGAAAGCTTAAATTATGCATAGTGATTTTCTTTCCTCTTCAGAGAAGCTAGTATTTTTTGGAATCTACTAAAAATTGTTTTAAACTGTGAGATAGTGTACATTTAGTTTTTAGCATGTTCCTACCATCCTGATACCAAGTACATTAACACTTAAGGGTTCTTTTTTCCTGTCCTCCTGTCCTTTCTTAATTTCAGTTATTCCAAACAATGTAACCATTTAATAGTATCAGAATTATATTTGAGGCAAGATATTTTTAATCAAGTTAATAACAGTAATTAGTGCTTAAAATTGTAGCAAAGTGCTCTTAGAAAAACTATATACCTAGTACACTTATAAACCCTGAATTATTCCTCAAGAAAAAGAAACAATAAGCCTATAAATTTTAATGCATTGTGCAAGTAAAATAGGAAAAGAAAGTCTTTCTCTAAACATCCCTAATGAATCTCTATATAACCTATTCCTCTGAGTCCACAGTAGCAGCCTCCTCAGTACTTTGGTTTAGAATGTTGGAGCATGTGTTTCCCCCACATTGGAATCATTTGTTTCTAAAATAAGCCCAAGAGTGGTATTTACTTTGATAACTTTTATTAGAAGACATAGTAGAAATCTTCTACAAAATAAGCTTGCTATTCCTGTGTCCTGTAGTGTGCTTCTGTTCCATTTTTCCCTCATTCTCTTCACCCTCCATCTTTATGCTTTTCTAACAGGTATAACCTTCTGCCAGTCTTTTACATAACTGCCAACCAAGTCTTCAATTATCAAATATTAACCATTTTTCTTACATTAAAGATGTGAGCAAAGAAAATAATTGTGTGATACATGAATAACATAGCAACCAAAAAAAAAATGTGTCCTAAGGGCTCTGATGTTAAGTACTAAAATAGATTTAATACCATAAACAAGTTTGTAGAATGTGTGCTTTTTAAAGGTGCTAAAAAATTGTGAGGATCATTATGAAAAGATGACAAATGATACTCAATTGAAAAAAGTATAGATTCTTAACTTTGAGAAATACTAGAAATGATAAAGCAGACCTTTTTGTCTCAGTAATAGTCAATATTTAAATATGCAAAAAATGCTTTTTTTTTTTTTTGATGGTGGTGGTATTTTGATTTAGTAGACAAGCACTCTATGACTTGAGCCATGCCTCCAAATACAGTCTTGCTTTTGTCTTGGCTAGCCTCAGACCAAGGTCCTCTCTCTGCCTCTTCATAGCTGGGAATGCAGGCATGAACCTTTATTGACTTTTCGACTTGCAGATATTACTAATGTTTTGCCTTTTGTTTGAACTGGCCCTCTATTTCCTTCTGCTTCTCTCTTCCCCTCCTTTTTCTCCTCCTCCTCCTCCTCATCTCCGAAGTATGTAGAATTATAGGCATGTACCAAAAATGTTTTCTTTTTTGAAGTGGGCGTCTCAGGGTCACTTCAAGGATTCTTCCTTCCTTAGCCTTCCAAATAGCTGGAATTACGGGATAAAAATAACTTTATCTGGCTGAGTCCCTGCCCCACTTCTTTTAAGTAAACTCTTCCTTTATAGTCCAGATTGTATGCAATCTCATGATCCTCCTGCTTCAGCCTCCCAAATTCTGGTTTTACAGGTATATAACCATGCCAGCTCAGCTAACTTTTTAACAGAAGTAGAAATCCAAGTAAGAGAACTATGAGTAAGTAAATAGGTAAAACTATATCCATTAAGCTTTGGGGGGTTTGGTTATTTTTGTTATTGTTCTTTGGTTTTGGTTTTGGTTTGAGACAGTGTTAGCCACAAAGCCCTGTTAAGACTTGATCTCATTCTGAAGACTAGGCTGAATTCACCAGCTCTTTCTTGAATTCATCATCTTTCCACTTCAGCCTCCCAAGTACTAGAATTACATGGTTTAACCACCACAGTAGGTTTAGTAAACCTCTAATTTTCCTAAACTGACAAATGTAGACATTGAAACAATTTTCAAATAGTTACCTCCACAAAAGAGAACATTTAAATGGAAGTTTTAACTCTCATGATAAGAAAATTGAGATAAATATTGAAAAAAGTACTTTTAATCAAACGTAAATCAGATGCCCTAAAAGTAATGTAATAATCATGAGTGAAACACACATGCTATGTCATAGAGCAATAATTTAGTAAATATTTGTTCTTCATCTCTTTCCTCCCTTAACTAAGAGGATACACAAAGAATGACACAGAACTGTCTCTATTACAAATACTGATGCTAGAATTCTGAACAAGAGGCTAGTAGCTAGACAGAGTAAAAAAAGTAACCCAAAGTAAGCTTAGGTCTGTGGTTTTGTACCCACAATGAAAGATAATCTAGAAATCATGATCCTATTTAATTCTTCATGCATTTCTCACAAATACTAAGGATACAGCCAGTCTCAATACCAGTACGAAAAGGAAAAATCATGACAATACATTAGAGATAGTCCAGTGAAAATCCACACACAAGTCCAGAGAGCTTGACAATACTTATTTTAAATTATTCTAAATACTTGTGAACTGTATGAAACATGAAATATAAGCATGAAAAGGAAAGCTGCACTGGGGAATTCTATACAGCTTTCTTCTAAGAGGACACAAAACTTATGA